ACAGTACCCCATCCCCAGCCTGGAGTCAACAGGCTTATAATAGGGACCCTCCAGACTCCAGAACTCAACATCTAGCTCTGCTATTCTTTCTGCATGATTTGACCTCCCTTGACTCTGTGCCTCCTTACTTGTAAAACAGGGATTAGAGTATAACAGCATCTACCTTGTAGCATGGCTATTTTTTAAATTAATTAATTATTTTTTTACATGTCGATCCCAGTTCCCTCTCCCTTCCTCCCTCCTTCTTACCCTCTCTGCCCCCTCACATGCACCCTGACCACTCTCCCTTCCCATCCCCTCACCCCAATTCCATATGTAGGGCAATGTCATCCAGGTGGAGTCATGTAGATCTGTCAAGTCATTTGAAGTAGGGACTAGGACTTCTGTCTCTAGGTTAAGGCAGTATCCCTCCATGGGTGATGTGTTCACAAGGTCCTTTTGTGCACCAGGAATACATCCTGGTTCCACTGTCTGAGGTCCCTTTAGGCTGCTCAGTCCTTCTGGCTGAGACCCATATTCAGGGGTGCCTGAGTCAGTCCCATGCTGGATTCCCAGCTATCAGTCTGGGGGCCGTTAGCTCCTCCTTGTTCAGGTAAGCTGTCTCTATGTGTTTTTTGCAACCTGGTCTTGTCCTCTCCCTCTGCATCTGGATTCTAGTTCAATTCAGTGTTTAGGTATGGGTGTTTGCTTCTGTTTCCAACAGGTACTAGATGAGGGCTCCATGATGGTAGATAAGTTAGTTGTTGATCTCACTATCAGGGAAGGGCATTTATGGTAGCCTCTCCACAGTTTCTCAAATTGTTAGTTGGTGGCAATCTTGTAGGTCTCTAGACCTTTCTTTAGGTTCAGTTTTCTCTTCAAACCAATAATGGCTCCTTCTTTTATGTTCTCTCTCTCTCTCTCTCTCTCTCTCTCTCTCTCTCTCTCTCTCTCTCTCTCTTCTGTCTTCTATTCCTACCCTGACTCAATCTTCCTAGACCTACTTGCTTTCCTCTCCTCCCCTTTTCTTTCTCCTACTTCTCTCTCCATTCACTGCCCCCCCCCCACACACACACATACTTCCCATGTGCTCTGGGGGACTTGTCCCTTCCCCCTTCTGTGAGGGACTTTATATGACTCTCTTAGAATACACCTTGTATTCTAGTTCCTCTGGTGGCTATTAAGCAGGATTTAGAATACTGCCTGGCATGAAGTACCCACGAGGTAAGTTATATGCAAAGTACTCTGAATCCACGATGTCTAGAAAACAAGCCAAACACTGAAGAAATAGAAAGGGGGGGGGGGAGAAAAAGGCGGAGGAATTGTTTGGATGCAGGGATTGGGGGTGGGGGGCTGTACTAGCTAGTGGCTGGAGCACAGCCTCCCGCATCTCTTGCTGGCTGGCCTGGGCGGTTGGTGAGTGGAGGCAGGAGGAGGGGCTGAGGAAGGGCGCGGTTGGTAGCAGTCTGAGTCGCCACACAGACTAGCCCAGGACCGATAGCGGAGTGCACACCTTTCCGCAGCTCTACTCCGGGAAGGGTAAGTTTCCTATGCTCACCCTGCTGCGCCCACGGAGCAGCGGATCCCAGCCTCGTCCCCGATGTCTGTGAGCGCGGCTAGATCCCTGCTCTCTCCCCTCCCTGTCCCTCCCACAAGCCCACTTCCCTTAGGTCGGAATGGAAGAGACTGAACCCAGGAGCGAAAGGGCGGTGCTGGGGGAAGTTACCAGATTCCGGGGCTTGGCGGCCCAAGACCCCATTCAAGGGATCCAGATATGATGCTAGGGCCCCCTCATTCCTAAACATCTTGGAAACTTCTAAACGATGGAAATGGGGGTGGGCCTCCGTGCCTCTGCTCAGAGTTGTGTGTTGAGAACTTTATCCCCCTTATTAGCTCATCACCCCCTCCACGTGTGAAGTTTATATTATTTTTTATATTTTTTAGAGGTAGGAGAAAAGTGAATTAAGAGTTGGGGAAACTCCGTTTTCCATGAAAAAGACAGTTTTCTATGGTTGCAACAGCATTCTTCCCCTAGACATGAATCACCACCAGGTCGCTTGAGTCAGCAGGTGAGGGATCCAGGTATGCGATTGCAAATGACCATATATAGAAGTTCTAGGTCCCTGAGCCCCTCTGAAGATAAGAAGTTGAGCAAGGGGCAAAATTCTTCGCTAAGAGGTGTGTTCAAGAGAAAGGTTTCTGCCCCAAAAGGAACTCCAGCTTCTATTCTTCCCAAACACCATCAAAATTAACTAAAAGGTTATTCTGTGAAGAATTGTTACTGGTTTTCCTGAAAGTGGAAGATTTCAGAGTGCCCAGAAAGGTAATTTTAAACTATAAGACAAGTTAGAACCCTGCTCCCAGAGCTGTTTGTGTTGAGAAATCTGTAGACAGAAGAGAGGGAGGAAGTACAAGGAAATTATGTAGCCGCAGTAATCGCTTTCAGGAAGGATGTGTTTAAAGTTCTATAGTTAGGTCATTTGGCCTCCACTGTGAAGTAATCCTTTCCTTTCTTTTTTTTCTTTTCTTTTCTTTTTTTTTTTTTTTTTTGGTTTCCCTGCTATGGAGCCTGTCCTGGAACTAGCTTTTGTAGACCAGGCTGGTCTCGAACTCACAGAGATCCACCTGCCTCTGCCTCCCAAGGACTAAGATTAAAGGCATGTGCCATCACCAACACCCAGCTGTTATCCTTTACTTTTTAAAAGTTTCAAGGGTAACTCAGTAATACTTCTTAGTAATTACCAAATTACATTGGCTCAATAAACACTGCATCAGTTGAATCAGGGCACCAGGATTAACAGTTCATTTTTGGAATTTGGATGCCTGGATTCAGTAGGATCCACCCATAGCTGTGTGGTGGACATTTTGTCATAGCCAGTGTCTTCCTAAGCAAAATGGAGACACTGCTATTAACGATGCCTCCCGAACCCACTGGGTTATGCTGAGGTTTATGTTTAAATAAATTATTGCATGAGTTCCCCCCACCCCCATATGCACCAGTGGATGAACATTACACAACCCCCCCTTTGTGAAACTCACATTCTAATACTTTTCCTACTTGACACTTAGCAAAAACACAAGATGCCGGCTGGCATTACAACTTAACGTTTTTTTCAGCAACAGCCTTCTCTCTGTTTTACATATGAGGAAATCCTTACTCAAACTATGTTTCACATTAAGAGATGTGTTAGCTTTTTGTCCAAATACTGGAGAGAAAAACAATTTACCAGAAGGAAAGGTATTTTTTAGCTCATGGTTTTAGAGGTTTTAGATCAATTCTGCTCAAATGGCTCCATTACTTAGTGCCCCAGGTGAGGCAGGACATGCTGGTAACAGTCGCAGAGGAGGCCCACCTCATGGCCACGAAGAAGCAGAGTAGGAGAAAGTGGTGCCTGGGGCAAAATAGAGACTTGTAAGGCATGCTGTCAGGGACCCACTCCCTTGAGGGAGTCTAACCCAGTAAGTTTCCATCATTTCCCAACTGCCCATTATGAAGCCATCAATGGGTTGACTTCCCGCTGAGGTTAGAGTGACCAATCATGACCCAGTTGTTCATGAAACGTCCCTTCTCTGAACACTGCTGCCTTCAGGACCAACATGGAAATTCTTGTTCTGTGTGACACCGAGAAGCAATCTTATATCATGCCCACTGTCTACTCTATAAAGAGAGACAAAGGGTGAGACTCTAACCAGAGAGCTGACTGTGTAAAGTACAGAGAATGGGCAAAATCAAGGGCTAAATATTTCCAGGGACTATTGATGTGATTTCCTGCTGAACTTTGTCCTTGAGCTGCCATTTAATTTTTAGAATACTTTGTTACCAGGAAGGGTGGGGGCAGCCTGTATTTCTAAATCAACCCTGGAGCCAGGCCAATAGGCCTGAGTAATATCCACTATGTGTGCCTGGGTCCAAGGAAGTTGCCTTTTTCATGTCTGTATCTACTTAGGACTAGCCTGGCTTCCTCAAAGACAGAGATAGATATTTATTACAGGCTGCATAGGCTAGGACCCTGGAAAATGTACAGGTAAGGAATCTGCCCAAAGCCAGCTGGGATTATCGTAGGAAGTTGAGGAAGCTTCCTGGGTTTTTGTTTATTCTTCCCCCACCACCCACTATGATGTCAACTTTTCCAGGTTAAAAGAAATCAGTACTAGACATGGTTATCCTGGCTTTGTTGTTGTCATTTTGAGATGTGATGTCCTTGTGTAGACCAGGTGATCAGGTGACTCTTCTGCCCCAGCCTCTCACAGGCAGACATGGACACTGCCCAACTACTAGATTTAAATAAGTAAAAATAGGCGTCTCAGAAAATCTTCCTTTGAGACACTGATGTGGAGAGCTGAATTCTTGTCTTGGAGTCCTCAAAAGTCCAGGTCGAACATGATCCCCTTGTAGATGTTGCAAGCCAAGTGAAGGGGTGGTAAGGGAAGACACCCTGGTCCCTCCCTTTGACTACCACACTATTGAAATGGTGGTCTTCAAAGACTTAAAATTTCCCCAGAAGTCTCATGCTGGGAGAAGGAAAGGGAAGCCAGACAACTTGTCTCCCAAGGAGAGATTTAACAAAGTTTTGACAATTTACAGGACAAACTAGAGCAAAGACAGTGAAGGCCGGACCCCTGCCTTAATCAGACCATGCTGCTTAACTGCGCATGCCTCCTGCTCCGCCCAATCACTGAAGGCAAACGTGGGGTTTCTGCATTTTGTTTTTCTTCCCAACCAGTGGCTCTGAATAAATCTCCTTTCTCTACTGTTCACTATTGCCTGTCTCTTTCTCATTGGTGTTCTAAGGACAGGTGGCCAGAACTGAAGGACTCTGCTAATATTCAGAATTTGGGAAGTGCCTTGTAAATGCTTGCCCTGGGATTGGCTTTCCCGAGATCAGATTCACACCCTCTTCCAGAGAAGTTTCTATTGATTATTGATATCTGCTTTCTGGGTTTACATTAGGAGTTGGACTGAAATTGTTGTGTTCAGAATCACAACACAGCTTGTTCAGTTTATGTTGTTTCTTTTATAGATTACTGTGATTTCAGCTTGAGAACAAGGTGGACGATCATGGCATCTCTCTGGGTGAGTAAAAGAGCTAAGTCTCCACAACATGACAACTTATGTGAGTCATAGAAAAACCAAACTACTAGGAAATAAAGGTGAAAGTTGATTAACTCTCTGTCTCTCTCTCTCTCTCACACACACACACATACACACACATATACACACACACACTTCATAAATATGACAGAGTTAGAGGATATCTAAAAATATTAAGTTATAAAAGAATATATTATAAGAAAGTATGGTACATATGTCTGTAATTTTAGAACTCTGAAAGTTAAGGCAATGAGATGTCAAGTTTAAGGATAGACTGAGCTATTTAGGGAGAATTTATCTACAAAGGACTAGTGGTGAAGAATGTACTAGAAGGGCTGGAGTCATGATTCAATCGTGCACTTGCATGCTGAGGACTGGGCTTTGGTTCCCAAAATCCATATCAGGCTGCTTACCATTGCCGGTAGCTTCAGCCTCATGGGATCCAACACGGAGGATACCTGTACTTATGTGCATACAGCCCCCCTCACCAACCTACCCCACACACAGGTAAGCAGTTTTTAAAGGTATTATAAAGTTCCACACTTGGCAAAGAGGCCTTAACAGAGAATAAATTTAGGGTAACTCAACATGTATAACAGTAAAGATGACATTTACTACCGGACAAGAAAAGATAGTTTCTTCTGTTGGTTAAATTAGAGAGACTTCTAGCTCATTGGGGGAAAAGTAAATCTATCTCCATCTCCCTCCTTACATTAAAATAAATTTTAGATGTACAAAATATAGAAAGGAGTAAAGGGTTTGTGCTGGCAAGCCCCAGGTCCTGTGAGAGACCCTGTGTCAAAAATAAGGTGAACGGCTCCTGAGGAACGACATCAGATGTTTTATGTCCTCCGAGTGTACCTGCACACACATGTACCTACACAGCTTTGAGCATGTATACACACACACACACACACACACACACTACATAAATAAATACATTTGCACATGTAGATAAACAAAGAAAATAAATTCAAGTGGATCTTTTGGAATTAATTTTGAATAGGGAATTACAACCAGAAGCCTATAATGCAAAAGCCTAAAAAAGTTTTATCTGTTTATGTATAAATTTGTAATGTGGCAGCAACAGAGTCAGTAAAGCCAGAAGAAAACCTCCAGGGAGAGATATTTGTGAATTTATGTTGTGAATTATGCTATAGAAATTTATTTCTATAACATACAAATGACTTGAATAAAGCAATTTGTAAAAATTATCTCAGTGGGAAAATGGGAAACTGTATATTACAAAGTAGCATATGAAAAGGATCACAAGTGTCCAGTACATGTATAGACACAACCTCTCAGAACCAAAACAAACAACCAAACAAAACAAAAAAACACCTAGCACAATAAAGTACTATTTTCTACCTAAGAAGTAGGTAAGGAAAAGTTGTGCACTCAACAGGAACTCTCAAACTGTTCTTAGGATACTATGTTATACCTTTTATAGTATATACCTTTTTTTATACTATGTTATAGTATGTTGTAGTATTTGGGTCAACATCTGTCAATGTTAAATGTTTGTGTACTTTACCCCAGTAATTCTATTTCTCATTATATGTCATAAATGTGAATAAGGTTGAAAATGTGAGCAACAGCATATGCAGACATTGTAAATGAACATCTAATAGGCAAAACTGCTTATTTTTAATTCTCAGCCATTTTTAATGTAACCATTAAAAAGAATGTGGGGAAAATATTTAGCTCTATGGAATGACATCAGGAACTATACCAAAATGTGTTACTCAATGAAAAACTCAAGTTACAGGACTAGTAGATACAGTGGCTCTGTACAAAAGAGAGGGCATGAAAGAGATCTGCTGTGTTGCTGACAACTCCCTAGGTGGTACATGGGGTCGCTGGTTCTTGCCAGTGTCTCCCTCTCTACTTGTTCCTTTAAGCCATGAACACACATTTTTATGAGTATGAGAAGTTGAAAGAAAAGCATGCAGAGATGTGGCATGCCCTTGAGAGGGCCAGTGCAGGGGGAAATGTTCTATGCACTAGTCAAGAAGTTAACCTTGTCTCTTTCCATATCTGAAAGCCAGCCCTTCCGACTTTAAGCATCTCTAACAGAGCCAGGGTCGGGTGAAAAGATGTTTCTCAAAATGCTAGCCCTGGTCCACAGGAAAATCGACATGGGGTTCACTGACACATGCAATGGGCTGAGAGACCTATTTGATGTGAGACATGGGGTGTTTTGTGAGACTGTTGTAGTCAGTCATACAAATGACTATAAACTGAGAATGTAAACCACATAGCTGGCCATGTTTCATGTTTCTCCATGTCAGAGTGCTCACCTAGTTTGTGCTAGGTTCTAGGTTCCATCCTCAGGACTGCATTCAGAATGTTTGCTGCATGTGGTCACACATAACCTATAACCCCAGTATTTGTGCAGTCTGTCAGGAATTCAAAGTCATTCTCTGCTACATAGAAAGTTCAAGACAGGTTGGGGTACTTTAGTGCCATACCCACCACACACACACACACACATACACACACACACACACACACACACACACACACACACACACACACACAAAACAAGTCTCTTTAATTATCCCACAGTTCTATCTGCAGTATGAACTGACTCTCATGGCAGTATATTTTTCAATAGCTAAGAAGTAAAAGCAACACAATATGTTCTATATGTACAGTATAGAGCTTCATCCTTAAAATGGTAGGGATCTTAAAAATGGGTGAAGCCTCAGCATGCTCAGCTAGTAAAGTGAGACAGTCATGGGAAGATAAACATTGCATAATTCCTCTTATGTAAGATATCTAAAGAAATACACAGAGAGCACAGGAGGGCAAAAGGACATTGTTGTTAAGACAGTATAGAATTTGTGTTCTATAAAATGATATGGTTCTGGAATTGCTTCAGAACAATATGAATATTCTCATTATTACTGAATTATGTATTTTAGAAGGGTTAAATTTTACACAAAATTCATATTTAAGGGTTTAATATCCTTATGTATATATGTATATGTGTGTGTTCACATGACATATATGTGTTCACATGTATGTACATGTGTCTAAGTGCTTGTGAACTTGTGAGCCTGAATGTGAGGGCTGTAATGAAGGGTGCAGTAAGGAAACCATGGAAAAGATTTTGATTGTAGGTAGAGGCAGAGAAGAGCTAGAGGCATCTGGAACAGCAAGAGCTGAGAGAGCAGGAAGCAGACATTGTCATGGCCAGGGCTATGATGGGAGACAAGAACAGTAAGGTGGGGGTAAACCTTCCAGGAACTGGTATCTAGGAAGAGGAAAGTCCATGAAGTCCAGAGAACCACAACAATCTGTGAATTAGGGTAGTGGAGCAGGAGTAGGGGAGAGAGAGGGCAAGGAGGCTAGCAATAAAGATGGCGGACTTCTGGCTTATGTCTCATGCTCCTGACTTGAGACAAAGGCCTAGCATGCTTTTCTGGCTAGCAGGGTTCCCCTCTGGCTGACTTGACCCAAGATGCCCAAATAATATTCCTGAGTCCGACCGTGTTTACCTGAAGGTGTGGAATCTATCAGCCTCCTTTACTTTAACCTGATCAACCCAAAATTAAGGAAAGGATCTCTTCTCTGGCCACCAAAACCAGTTAAAGCCTCCAGCCCTCCAGAGAAAAATGGATCTATTCTGCAGGGAATCTTTCTCTGTGAGTGCTTTTGCTTTTCTCTCTTTCTCTGTCTGTCTGTCTGTCTGTCTGTCTGTCTGTTTCTCTCTCTCTCACTCTGTCTCTCTGTGCACGTGTACAAACACACACACACAAACACACACACTCTTCTACTTTTATAATAAAATCTGTTACCTGTTGCTGCCCATTGTGTCTGGAATTTCCCTGCCTTTTAAACTCTCTCACCTGTGGAGAAAATGGTCACGACTCCTAAACAGAAAGACCCCTGTCTCTGACCCATAGCACTGGTATCACAGGCACACCCTGCTGCTTAGGGCCTGCACACCTGTGCTGAGGATAGGAACGCTGTCCCTCCTGCTCATAAAGCAAGCACTTTACTGACTAGGTTACCTCCCAGCCCTCTGGGTTTATATTCTTACCAGAAAGTCCTGTTGTGACACAGATTTGCTGCCCTAGTCACACATGGACCAGTTGCTGTGGCCCTGGGTTGCTGCAAGAAAAAAAGTAATCTTTGTTGCATGGTTGACTGAGGAGAATTTTGGGAGCTGCCTCCACTTGGAGGCAGCAGGGGACCTCGTAGGGAGAGGGAGGCAACTGCTCTTAGTTGGGTGATGAAGAAGGGGAATCCTCGGGTTGTATGACACAAGCAGAAATGAGCATCACACCACTTCCTGAGTCACAATTCTCTAGGGAAAGGCCCTGTGCTCCATTGGAGGCTTGGGGATCCTTAACTTAGGACATCAAAAGGTCATTGACTGGACAACCTCACTTCTGCACATGTTCATCGTTACAAAGCTGATTCCAAGCCGCTCTCGAGAGGATTCCAGGTGCATTACATAAAAGACAACTTAAGAACTTTGTTATTTGAGGAATTTGTGTCCAAGGCTGAAGCTGAGCCCATTCTCGGTGTTTTTCTTTTCCTCCTTACACACAAAAGCAAATACACACCCAAGTACAAATCTGTGATCCAAGTACAAATTGGATCCACCCATTCCTGCACTTCGCTAGGTCAGTTTGAGGTTACCAGTGTGTAGCTGGCTTATTGTAATTAACTCAGGTTTAAAAGGGAAACTTGGGAAGGTATGAGAAAGGCAGGAGCCTCCCATTCTGGAGTCTGGTTGGAGTCTTCGCTAGCCCAAAGTCACAAATTCCAGCACGATAGATAACGTTGGCTGTAAAAATTGCCTCTGTAGAGACCCCCCCCCCTTTTTTTAATGGAACTATTTCAAATAAGAATGTTAAAATAGGTGTCTACTATGCTGAAGAACTAAGTGTATGACCTTTGAGTCTTTTCCTAGTGAGAACTCAATTTTCTGGGAATCTCAAAAACAAGACTGAACTTGGTCTACAGTA